CTTTATGTTCAACAAATTGGGCCCCGAGGTCAAAAAAGGTTAAGAACCCCTGTTTTACAGTTAACAGTCTGTTGAGATTGTTTTGCACCGGAAATAGGCAAAAGTCTAATTATTAATGTCAAATTCTGATAGGTAACTACAGAATATAAAACAAGGCATGTCTTTTTTTTTTTGTTCTTGCACAGTCCTTTATATTATATTTTTACTGTTAGTAGTAGTATCATTGCTAGTTAGTGTTAATTTTGTTTTTTGTGCATTGTCTATAGTTTGTAAAKTAGTGTGTGAACCTTTGTACTGATGCTGCTGTGACACCTGAATTTCCCCCCGGCAGGACAGTGCAGTCTATTTCTATTCTATTTTAACTGTGCGCACCTTTCCCTTCTCTGTGAGGATCTGTTTGAAGTGCAGCCATCCTTCTCGCCGCACGTCGCTGTATGTGATGTTCCCCAGCTCCGAGGTGGAGTGCCGTTTGGATCGGACCTCCTCCGCCGTCCCGATGTTGTCCAAGGACTGAAACCGAACAGGAAATCGTAATTAAACAAAAACAAAATCAATAAAATCAGCAGACATTTAACTTTCCGGCCACAAGGACTCACCCCATCCGTGAAAAAGCTCTTCACTCTTTTCGACTGCCTTCTGTTCAAATACCAAACAAGAACAAAATGGATTTAAGCCCGTTTCCACGCAGTTAAAAACTTGACTCGTCACGGTACTCACGAGGGCCGTCCTTCGTCTCTGAAAGCATTGAGTCCTTCATCGCACGACTTGGAGCGCTCGGCGGTGATGGCTAGAAGATAGGAGGAACGGCGAGTGGATTTAATACTGCCTGCTCGAGCGTGAACGAGCGGAGAGATGAGGAAAATGAGAAATAAAAAAAAAAGAAAGAAAGAAAGACTGAATGTGGATGAGCCGGGTGGACGGGTGAATTAGTACGCAGGGGGGGACGGAGGAGGGAGGTTTTAAACTGGGAGTTAATGGGGGTGACAAGGTGAAGATGGGAGGTGTGTGTGTGTG